GGGAAAGAGACATGGAGGGGTGTGTGTCTAACCTAATGGTCTGCAACCTGGCCTACAGCGGGAAGCTGGAGGAGTTGAAGGAGAGGATCCTGGCCGATAAATCCCTGGCTACTAGGACTGACCAGGTAAAGCAGCGCTGGGGCCTCTCCGCAGGCGGCGGCATCGACGAGGCCCAAGGTGGCTGCCTGGCCGGGCCCAAGGGAGGCCGGTTCCGTAAGGGCCAGATCCCCGCCCCCGCCGCCCCATCCTTAGCCGGGGTCACCTCAGGACTCGGAATTGGGCGGCGGGAGCTAGCCCCGCAAACCTCAAATATTTTGGGGAGGAGGGACGGTACTTAGCTCGCTGAATTTTGGATATTTCTAGAGCGTTTACCGCGTTTCTCAGAAATGCCCAATCTTTGAGCTACCCGTGGAGGAAAGCTTTTTTTTTTTAATGGGTTTCTTTACTTCTTACTCGTCGTTTTATTCCATGAAACACGTGTAACCGAACGCCAATTCTGTGCCAGGCAGTTTGCTAGGAGCTGGGGATACAGTCGAGTGGAAGAAGCAGACGTTAATAAAGTAACCCCAAATCATACGTCTGGTAACAAATTGTGGTGACTACTCTGGAGAGAAGTTTACGTGGTGCTTTCAGAACACAGAATGGCAGGACCTGATTTAATCTCCCTTAGAAGAGCGAATGTTGTGATAATTGAAAAGGTTTTGCAAAGGAGGGAAGGTTGGTTAGATCTTGAAGGATGAGTGGGATTTTCCTGGGGCAGTGAACGGGCATTCCTAGGCAGAGGCAGAACAAAAGTGAATGGACTTTGGGAAGCTTTCTGCTCAAAGGACCCTCATGCTTTCACCCCGAGTTTCTAGAAAGATTCACGGTGACCTCAGCAAGCCAACAAATATTTATAGATTGCATTCTTTATGACAGGTACTATGCTAAGCACTAAGCAATCAGTGTCAGGGATTTACAAGTCTCCATTTTGTGTCTTTGGGAAGAGTAGAAGTCAGGAGACTGACTTCTGGGGCTTTTCTTTATTGCTCAACCTGAAAATGGCTTTACCTTTACCTGATGGTCTGATAATATTTAATACTTGAAATTTAAGTTAATAATGTCAAATTAAGATTTAATAATCTATTCTTCATTGAGTCAATGGAATAAAAAAGAGGGAAGCTATTCCAGGTCAAGTGACTTTAAGAACCAACAGTCATATGCAAATTATGGGCCTTGTCTGGAGCCTGATTCAAACAAGCTAACTATTAAAAAACATTTGGGGGACAGCTGGGGAAATCTGAATACCAACTTTTAGATGTTATCAAGGAGTTAGTGTTAATTTTGGTAGGTGTGATAATGGCCTCATAGCTCTGTTGGACAGCATCCTTATTCTTTAGGTACTGAAATATTTAGGGATGAAAAATCATGATATTTAGGATTTGTTTTTAAAAACCTCATCGAGGAAATGAAGTGAGGCAAATATGGCAAAATATTAAATCTAGGTAATAGACATATGGGTTTCTATTATAGTCTATTTTTATGTGTTTGAATTCTTTTGTAATAAAGTTTAAAATACCACTTTCTTTTCCATAGAGCTAAGAAATACAGCTGTCACTGCAAAAAAAGAAATTCCCTTTGAGAAACACAACTAACTCCTGGCTTATTAACTTTTTAAAGTAATGTTGCTCTCTAATTTTGTGTGTGGTATGCTTTTTAAATGAATCTGTAGATAATCTCAACTAGTTTTATGAACATTTCTTGCCCATAAAGTTCATTCATTCTTTCCAGAGCATCTAGAAATTTCAACGTCAGATGGGTTTATGGCCCAGTTTCACCATTTACTAGCTGTGTGACCTTGGACAAGTTGTTTAGCCTGAGGAGTCTTAGTTTCCTTATCTGGAAAATGGGGATGATGTCCACTGTGCAGGATCATGGAGATTAAATGAGACAATGACTGCAAAACTCCCAGCAGAGTGCCTGGCATAACAGTACATAAATAACGTCATAGTAAATAGCCGAAGGTGTATTTCTGCCAAAGCAGTGAAATCAGTTTCGTGCTCAACTGCTTTCGAGGCCGGATTCTGCCCAGAATTACATTCATCAGTGGGTTCTCCCCCATGTTACTGGAACCTTGGTCTCTCTTACAACAGTAGGTAATGTGGTGTAAGTTTACCTACCCGAGGATCCTGTGCTCTCCATTTCTTGTTCCCAAACTATAGGCTTGCTGGCCCCAGTATTAATCTTTTCCGGCATTCTTTCCTTCCTTCTTCTGTTTCTCTTCAAGAATGTTGACCGTCTTGCTTCTCTTGTTTCCCATGCAGGACAGCAGAACCGCGTTGCACTGGGCGTGCTCAGCCGGACATACAGAAATTGTGGAATTCTTGCTGCAACTTGGAGTGCCAGTGAATGATAAAGATGATGTGAGTCCTAGGCAGAGTTGATAAAGGCCCGGTTATCTTTAGACTCCACACTGGTGTTTACTGAGGACTGAGTATCAAGCTCACAAACGAAATTGTAACCTTTATGACTAGGCAGTTAGTTACAGCAGGGCCTTGGTGACCTCACACAGGTCTAGTGGGTGCATTATTTTAGAATGTTGGTTCTGCCACTCGTACCCCATAATTTAAGGTTAACATGCAGATTAAGGCTACAAGACCACAAATCCTTTTTATTATGTTGGAAGGCTTTTTTTGTGCGTGAGCATTGCTTGAATACTCAGGGCCTGGGTATCCTTTTATTGTTGTTACACAGAGATTTATTGTAATGGTATTGGTTATATTAAGATAAAACTTGGTGAAGAATAAGGATGGAAATGTTTTGTAGGCAAAGATGCCTTTTCAAGGATGCTCACTGAAGGAATATTTATAATAGCAAAGAAATAAAAACAATTCAGTGTAGGATTGGTTGAATACAGTAGGCGTAGCCATATTAATAAAATAATATGCAACCAATAAAGTCAAGAATCCAAAGAAGGGCGTAGAAAATTCTCACAACAAGACAAGAAGTGGACATTGTGGGAAATGCAACTCACAGAACTTTATATCCTATAATCCCAATTGGAAAACACATTAGAATTACTCCTGTATCATTATTTCTGTGTTACGGGATTATGGGTGGTTTGGCATCCCTCCTGTATACATCTACTTTCCAAATTTTCTGCAGTGTTAAATGAGGGGAAAAGAAGGTTATTTATTTTTTTTAAATCATTCACACACAGCTCTTTGTAAACCCTACCTACATGTCAGCATTAATCCCTGTGCCTTCCCCCCCCCCCCCCCCCCCGTTTTTTGTACTGCCTACCTCTTTCATAGGCAGGTTGGTCTCCTCTTCATATTGCTGCTTCTGCTGGCCGGGATGAGATCGTAAAAGCCCTTCTGGGTAAAGGTGCTCAAGTGAATGCCGTCAACCAAAATGGCTGTACCCCCCTACATTACGCAGCTTCCAAAAACAGGCACGAGGTAGGCTCCCGTTCCTTGGCTGCTCCTCTTGAGTTCTGAACCTGTACATGAACACAACTAGACGTCTGCATTGTTTTCTTCCCCGGGGTTCCAGATCGCTGTCATGTTACTGGAAGGCGGGGCTAATCCAGATGCTAAGGACCATTATGAGGCCACAGCAATGCACCGGGCGGCAGCCAAGGGTAACTTGAAGATGATTCATATCCTTCTGTACTACAAAGCATCCACAAATATCCAAGACACTGAGGGTAACACTCCTCTGTAAGTGACAAGTAGCGGTCATTTGTGCTCTCCTTGACATTAGCCTGCTTGCACTAATTCTCACACGTCGTTTCTTTTTTTTCTGCTTATAATCATAATACATGTGTATGACAAAAAAATTGGAAGCACACAAAAGTATAAGGATAAAAGTTAAAATTGCCTCTGTACTTTTCATATATTTCCTCCCATTCTTTTGTATGCAAATATGCATATTTAAAAAAGTTTTTTTGCAAAATTGGGATCATACTATGTATGTAATTATATCCCATTCCTTTAACCTCATAGTATATTGTGAGCATTTTCCAATGTTATTAAATATTTTTTTTATTAAATGTTTTTAAAACATTTTGAATGGCTATATACAATTCCATTTTATGGATGTGCCAGGATTTAATCATTCCTCTGACTGTATTGTTTAAGCTTTTTTGAGTTTTCCATGAATATAAATCATGCTACATTGACCAAGTTTGTACAAAAATCTTTGGCCATATTGTTGATTATTACCTTAGTATAGACTCCTAGAAGTAGGACTGCTGAGTCAACGAATACACACATTTTGAGACTATTGCTATATATTGCCACATTGCTTCCAGAGGAGTTGTATCATTGTACCCGCCTGACAGCAGGTTTGAGAGTGCCTTTTACCTCACTAACACGGAAAATAGCCTTCTGTTATATCAGACGTGGTATTTCAAGTTGTCATTTGCATTTTTTTATTATCAGCGAAGTGAAACATCTTTTTTTTAATAATTTTTTTATTGTTATGTTAACCATCATACATTACATCATTAGTTTTTGATGCAGAAGTGAAACATCTTTTAATGCCTCCAACTGATTAGATTTCTGCTCTAAATTAGAACCTTTTGTGTGTCCCTTTCTCTGCTTTCGGGGAATTAATTTATTTTTTGTGATTTTTTTTTTAAGTGCCCTTGACTTGATGTGCTAAAAATATTAACTTGCTGTGTTAGTCAAAACTATTTTTTTCCCAGTTTGTCTTTTCATGTTCATTATTTTTTCTAAAGAACAGAAGTTTTTCAGCTTCTAAGTAGTCAGACCTATTAATCTTCCCTCATGACTGGAAAGTCCTTTCTCACCCTGAAATTAGTTAAATATTTACCTGTAATTTTTAAATAATAAACCTGTATTATTTTAAAAAAAAACAAAGACATTGCATTGGTTTTGGTTGAGAGTTCCTGTTCTTCATGTAACTCAGATCCATCTGGAATTAATTCATGCCTATGACCTGAGGCCATTCTCTGCCTTGGAATTTTTTTTCTACAGTACATGGCTACTTTTCTTCCTTAGTGAGTGGTGACTTTTTTGAACCAGAAATTCTGAGTCTCCTTTTTAGTCTAAAGTGAGATTCAGTCTTTTTCAAGTATTGTTTTCTTAACTCTTCGTTTTAAAAATCTTTTCTGTAGTCCCGAGTGACTCTGTTTAGAAAGACTTGCCCATGCTAGCTCTTTTCTCCATAACAAGGAAGAAACCTAGGAGACAGGCAGGACAGGGTCCCGGGAAGAGCCTAGGATTTGGGGATAGCTAGATGCTGTTTACTCAATTCAAACTCAGCCACTTAACCAACTATATTAAATACGTACATTAAGTAACTTGGAGAAGTAACTTAACCTTCCTGAGCCTTAATTTCCGCACCTGTAATATGAGGATAATAATTCCTTCCTCACTAGACTGTTGTGAGGCTTAGATAACATGACAGGTAAAGTGCTTGATAGGCTGCCTGATAAACCGTAAGTGCCCGCTGAGGTTTTCCCCCTCAGTCACCGCCCAGCCCTGTCAACATAGGTAAGGACTTCGGCCTCAGCCACAATTTCAGCTGTAAAGTGGGGATAATTACCACCATGTTAACTTACAAGGTGGATGTAAGGATCAAATGAGATAACAACACCTTTTAAACTGCTTTTCCAAAATTCCAACCACATAAATTACTGTTAGCAGATTATGAGCTGGGGCTTTTCTAAATTGTAGCCCCGAGGGGCACCTGGGTGGCTCAGTCGTTGAGCGTCTGCCTTCGGCTCAGGTCATGATCCCAGGGTCCTGGGATCGAGCCCCGCATCGGGCTACCTGCTCCGTGGGGAAGCCTGCTTCTCCCTCTTCCACTCCCCCTGCTGTGTTCCCTCTCTCGCTGTCTCTCTCTCTCTGTCAAATAAATAAATAAAATCTTAAAAAAAATAAAATAAAATAAAAAAAAAATAAATTGTAGCCCCGAAGTATTGGGTGCCTTTGGGGCAGACTACTCTGATCTCCATAAAATATGGAAGCTGTTCTTAGGCTGGCATTTAGATCCCTTCTTCGATGGTCATGTGTCCAGAATTATGATACGTGATCTGGTACCATAAGGCTGTTCCACGGAATTTTAGCTTACGAATAGTCTCTCCCACGCAAATCGATCTTTCCTTTCCTGACTAAATATTCTAATATTATACCACCTAGTAATATGCAGTTCAGACCACCTATCAGGAAATTCTCATCGTTACATAGAATTGGTAGGGAGTAATCACTCTTTGTGGTCCTCAATTTCAGACACTTAGCCTGTGACGAGGAGAGAGTGGAAGAAGCGAAACTGCTGGTGTCCCAAGGAGCAAGCATTTACATTGAGAATAAAGAAGAAAAGACAC